CTTTAGAAGAGGTTTTTTCCTAGCATCCCACCTTCAAACTTTAGGGAGAAAGGAGTGCCTACAAGATTATTGCAGAAGGTAACTGCAGAAACATCATCTTTAGCTGGGATAAAACGTCAGAAGAGAGCAATCCAGGAATCGTACAGATGGACCAACTCAGAGCAAAGCTGAGTAAATGCTGCAGAATATTTGCTGTTGATATTCATTTGGGATGTCTAAGATAAATTTGGTTTGACCATGCATTGGTTTCCTTATATTCGCTTCCTGCAAATAATTCAGAAAAAGGTCACAGGAAAATGAATTTGAGGCAATTCAAGCAAAGCCTAGACAGAAAGCAAAGTTCACGCTTATTAAAACAGGTATCAGTTAGAAATTAACCTTGAGACCTGCATTCAACCTGGTCACGTTTGCTGGGTGGCCCACCAAGCTTATAAAAAACAATTACTACTGTTGTTATCAGTCCCAGACAGTTTTCAGAATTACTACTTTTGGGTGACATATACACCAAGAATAAATTATTACGCTTTTCTATATGGAACATTATTATCACATATGAACGGAACAGTTTTTAGTCACAAATATAAAGAAAGGAAATATTTGCAAAGAGAAAATGCAATAGGATATACCTAAGGAAATAATTAACTTGGCTGCTAATTATTTTACTCTGTTAATAGTTTTATTTCCTTTCTTAACTGATTCTGTGCTTTATCTGTACTTCCTTACTTCTGCGCGGGCAACCTATGTCGGTCACTAGTACATAGGTCTCCCTTTGCGGGGTGGGTACGAAAGGATGCTGTGCCAGGGCTGGCAAAGCCGACTTCTCCGACGCACCAGCCATCAGCAGAGGTGTGAGCAGAGCGTGTGTCTCGTCTCGGCTCACCCTGGCCCCTTTGGCAGTGTTGTTAGCCCAGGGGTTGGTGCACCTGGGATACACCAACTTGTACCAGGGCTGGGGGCAGAGCAGCTCAGCCTGAACTGGCTTCTGGGAATTTCCCTCTCTGCTACACTGAG